TAGTAATTTGAGATGTTCCGATTTGTATGCAATTTTTCTCTCAGGCTGCGAAGTCGTTTACTCAGCGAAATTCAAAACAGACCGTTTTATTTCCCTTCTTCGATCATGCCATTGCAATTTTCGGTATTTCGTCGTGCCATAGGCAAAGTTTACGTACCCAGGAGAAACGAACTCTTGGTCCCTATAACTGTTCGGAAACACATGTTTTCTTTTTTCGAACTTATTTGAGCAAATATTTGTCCAAGCATAAAAATAAGTGAAAATTTGATCTGATTATTATAGCAGAACCATAATTTTAATTACGAAAATACTGAATTAATTGAAGAAATATGCGGTTTCACAATAAATAAACAGTGATGCACGGAGATTACAAACACATCTTTTATATTTCATGTTTCATTAATTTTATCTCATAACATTTTAGAATTTTGTATTCAATACATTTCTATGTTTGATCAAAGATATATGACACTACATTTACACTTACTAATCACATTAATTAATACCAAATTTGTTCTTGAAAAAGCCAATTTTTGTCAATTTTTGACAATATATATCATAGTGGCATTTGAATATGTTTAATATTCATAAACATATTTCATTGTTAAATTTGTTATATTTTACAATTTCATTTCAGTCATTTATAAATTAAATTGTATTAATAAACATTGAGGGGAAAAAAATAACAAGCATTTTCTGCATAAATCTGCGTAATACGTTATGCTATAATCTGTAAGAATAATTTATAGTCACATTAAATGCTTTAAGCATGTCTCTCTGATATTATCTAATCAAGTTTTATAAAAAAACATAGGAAGATTATATATTAAACGAATTGATTTCGATCGGTATATTACGCGTAGTAACTCTATATTCGCGCAATTTTTCATTTACAGATTATATTTGCGTGCATCACAAGAGAAACGAAAAACATAATTATTATTTATGAAATTAATAATAGATTAATAATAGATATCAAATGTATGAAATCTAAATTCACGGCTGAGCCGTGTGTCGTTTTGCCAAAATTTTCGACTTTTATATTTTCCTCGCCTCGATTGACCGTCATCGTGATTAGTTCTTTATCCCTTTAAGTACGTGCACGACGATTCTTACATTATATTTCTCAAATTTATCGCGCAGGCTTACTCTACAGGAACGACCCTATTTCTCCACACCTAGTAGTTAGCGTATATCAAAAGGACTATGTACAAAAGGTTGAACGCGCCGATTGCAACTCTTTCGAACGGATCCGAGAATTTCTGGATCGCACTCGGAACTTTCCAGAAATATAAAGAGAGTCTTGATTCAGTTCTCACTCAAAAGAAAAAAATATCGGCGAGTCACAGGCTTAGGAACTATACTTACGGCTACGTGACATTGTCGAGCGAATTTTATAATCGTCCTTGAGGCGTTCGCCATATGTATCTATATGTAAACATTCTCGAGTGTTAAGATGTGATCGAAATTTATGATTTACTGTCTTCGATTCACGAATATTGATCGAAATCGATCGATCTGATTATCAATAATATGACAATATCGATCATTTAGATACAATCAATTGAATAGCATAGTTTTATTAATTATTTTTAAATAAAACTCATTACGACCAAGTACCGCATAAATAATATCTTTTCGCGATAATTTGGTATTAATAAACAGATAAAATAACTTCATTAAAATCAAATTCTCAACAGTAATATTTAAACTACTAATGTTTTTAAATCAAATGTTAAATCAAATTAAAGCTTTTTTTCTATTCCTTTTTCTCTTCTTCCACCTTTCAAGTGTAGCACGTAAAAGATTTAACGTAAAAAATTTAATGTAGTTACGTTGATCTATTCGATAATATTCATGATAATGCTAAATTGCTATTAAGAGTTATTTTTGACAATGCATAAATTCGCACGACAGAAATACTTAACTTTATGTAAGTTGTCCTAGTAATACTTTAGTCTGCTTCTTTACCCATTTTTAATTTTTGTCCTTATCATTTTCGAGTAAACTAGCTACGATTACGAATATATTAATATTTATAAATATCTTATTTTTATATTTATATCAATACCGTTCCCATTCGGCATGTTTCGGCATAGCTTGCTTTCACTGGGTATTCATTTCAGACCTGTTAACATATGCAAATGTAGAAAAATCTTTATTTCCTATTTACGTAATTTCAAAACGTTTTGCAATTAAATGTTTATATATATGTTTAATGTAACTGTTGTATAATTTCTGCAAAATTTATTCGTTCGTATACGATATGATAATGCATAAAATTAACATATTATGAAATTGAATATAATAGAATCTCATTGCATGAAATTATTTTGAAATTATAGATTGCATTATGTTGAAATTTCAATACGATATTTATAATACTTTGATATTGGCACTATTTAGAGAAGTTTAATAAAATTTTACATTACATTACATAGCAAAAATTTTGATCTATTGAAATTGTTTATTAGATTATACGAAATTCTTTTGTATTCTCATCAATCCCTTTAATATGTGTCAGTATTTTTAAAGAAATAATAATATGTAATTATTTAAAAAAGATATCGCGTCTCAAATATAATACAATACTCACTTTAAAGCTTTATAACGTTCCTTCTCCGGATTGTTATCAGGCGGTTCGCATTCGAAAGATGCTAATGCGAGTGCTATGGCAAAGAAAGAGAAATAAAAATTTAGGATTAAACAATTTTGCATTTTCAAAATATAGATATAGATAGAATAGATAGAATTTCGCTTACTATTTTCCGTGAGTACAGGACTCGCTTGGAGGAAGGCAATGACGCGCGGATTTTTTTCGAACGGACAGGCAACTTGTTTCCACGCAATAAATTCGGTCACCTGCTTCGCTAGTTGCCAAAATTTCTCGAAATTGATGTGACCATTTGGCAGTCTGAAACGCATAATTTAATTTGAA